GGGGTCTCCAGGGGGGCTCACCTCTGTCCCTGCTTGTCTCCCAGGGAGTGGACGAAGGACCAGATGGGCTGAGGCTGATCTCGGACATCATCCACGAGAAACTGGGAATAGAGATGAGCGTCCTCATGGGGGCCAATATCGCTAACGAAGTGGCAGGAGACAAGTTCTGTGAAACCACCATTGGTAAGGAGCCAACGTCCCTCTCATTATCAGCCGTCATTCCTGATGAGCAGGAGGAGTCAAAAGGGCGAGTGTGGTGCAGCCCAAACCGTTGCTGCCTCGGGTGAGCTGGACTTTTCTCCTTGTGGAGGCAGAGACTCCACAGAAGCTGGATGAACTCATTCACAGGGTTTACGATGTGATTGCTCGCTTCACTAAAAACAGAGTTGTGTGTCTAAAAGTTCCTGGCAGCACAGACTCCAAGCATCAGGAGCCTGCCCAGCACAAATTAAAGGGGTGGACACTAAGACACTCTTTAGAAATTAGAGTTCCTGCCTTCATTTCCTTGGGCTTCAAGGGACGCTCACCTGGACCTCATGTTATTGCCAGCCAAAGCTGTTCAAAAGTTTATCTGGTGATTGTTCCTATCGTCCTCCACACTGTTTGTCAATCCCTGCACACTAGCCAAAACCAACAGACCAGTGTCCTGGATGAGAAGTTTCAAGATTCAGAGTGTCTCTATTTTAAACAAAAGTGAACATTCTGTGTAGGAGGTTTTAGAGACCGGAGAGGTATAAGCAGAGTATGTTATTGCTGCGAGCATGCAGACACGCTCTCACACAGGATGCTGCAGGAACAGGAAGGACAGCAGTCTCCAAACCTAAATTTGCAACCTCTGAAGATGCCTTTTATCTCCTGGGCATGCAATTTTTGTCTCGCTTGACAAAGCAGTAGGGACTGCCCCCATGAACCAGGTGATGTGTGCTTGGCGCTTTGTGGAGCTGCGAATGTTTAGTAACTGATGTTGGGTAATAAGTTACTCTCGCTGCGTGGGGTGCACTGCAGGAGAGCAGCACAGTCCTACCTTAGGGTCTTCTCCTCCTCCCTTTGTCTCATCAGGCTGCAGGAATATGCAGCATGGGCAGGCACTGAAGGAGCTGATGCAGACGCCGAATTTCCGGGTGACGGTGGTGCAGGAAGCTGACACCGTGGAGATCTGCGGTGCTCTCAAGGTGGGTGAGCCACTCACCGGGGTTTGCACGTCTTGGTTAGCAGAGGCCGTGGCTCCCTAGGGCTCTGCGGGGAGCTCTGTAGAGGAGGCCACCAGCTGAATGCGCGCCACTGGATATTGCACAGGGGCTCACTGAGACCGTTGGGTCAAAGACCAGGCTTTGGAGGGAACCATGGATGTGTCCTGTCCAGCTGCTTGGAGGGATGACGATCACTGACACAGCAGGGGCAGGCAGAAACCTGGGCTTGGGGTTACACAGGCAGCTCACAGACACAGCAAAGCCCTGAGCTCCGATGGGAACAGATCCCTCCATGCCGCTGCTGTTTTCCAGAACATCGTGGCTGTAGGAGCTGGTTTCTGTGACGGGCTCGGCTATGGAGACAACACGAAGGCTGCCGTGATCCGTCTGGGACTGATGGAGATGATTGGCTTCGCCAAACTGTTCTGTAAGGGCCCCGTCACCCCTTCCACCTTCCTGCAGAGCTGCGGCGTCGTGCCGCCCTCATCACTCCCTGCTATGGTGGCCGCAATCGTAAAGTGGCTGAGGCTTTTGCCAAGACTGGGAAGGTAAGCACGGCGGGGAGGAGGCAACACCGATACACACATCACCCTGCTGAGGGGGCAAGGAGGTGAACCCAGTTAGCACCATAGTGTCCTGCTTGCTCATCCAGTGCTGCAGCCTGGCTCCAGAGCAGGAACGTGGGGCAGCAGATGGGGTTGCAGGGTCCAGCTCCCTCACTGTTGGATTGTTTCAGCCTATTGAGCAGCTGGAGAAGGAGATGTTGAACGGGCAGAAGCTGCAGGGTCCCCAGACGTCTGCTGAGCTGCATCGCATCCTTAAAAGCAAGAACGTAGTGGAGAAGTGAGTGCTCTCAG